AAGGCATATTTTAAATGACAAAGTAGCAGACTTCAGCATATGTCCAGGGCTGTTGGCTCAACCATCCTGGTTGAGGCTCAGGCTGAATCTCATCTCTGCCATATTGAGTTTGAGGCTGAACTTCCCCAGTTTAAAAGATTTCAGGAGACAAGTATCAGATGATTTGCTTTTTGCTCCCAAGTCTAAGACTATGAATTGGGAGGTGAAGCTTGTTATGTATTTTCAAAGATTTACTGGCTTCTCCTTCACAAACTAGCCCAGTTATATTTTGTCTGGAACAGAATGCTCCTTTAAAACATGCCACAGCATGTTATGCAGTAATTCATATGATCTGTTGATTTGCTGGATAGATGTGAATGTCATAGGTGAGGTTACAAAATCACAGACTGAGGTAGGAAGGGACCCTGGGGGTTCATCTTGTCCAATCCCTGCTGAAGCAGAGGCACCCAGAGTAGGGCTTGGTACTTTTCTGTGTTGAACTCCATTGGACTCCTGTCAATGCACCTCTCCAGCTTGTCAGGTCCCTCTGGGTGGTAGCATCACCCCTTGGCTTACCACCCACTCCTTCCAGATTTGTGTCACCTGCAAGCTTGCTGAGGGAGATGAGACTGATGAGACTTCGTACTCATGACCAGGCAGATAAACAATGCAGTCAGATTAATATTTGCTTGATTATATGGTATTAAATCTGAAGAAGGAAAAAAAATCCGAACAACTAAAAGCATCATAAATCGAAAGTGAAGGGCTGTGAGCTAAAAGTAGAAGCATGACATTTTCCAGAAGTCATCCTGAGGGAGGCAAAACAACTGCTGCAGAAGTTGATATCTGAAAGAATAAGCAGTGGCTCTTTTTTTTTTTTTTGGTTTATATTTTAAGAACAGAAGCTGAAAACATGAAAACAACTGCTTTGTAGTTAAGGATAGCCCTTACCTGGGCAGCAGTGGGGTCCTTTCACACACAACCTTTATTTATCTCTTTTGAATTTTCTTGATCACTGAATGGGCACAGGTAATTATGAATCTCCTACAGAGGCTTGTACATTTTGTAATATTCTGTTTCAAAATCTAACAGGTTTTTACATAGTATTTCAAATATTTACACAGTATTTAGAACAAACAAACAGGAAAAAAATAACTAGTTCTTGAACTTGTTACATACTTATAAGTGTTTTGTAGTAGTTGCTGGGAGGAGGTTTTCCTTGGTTATCTTCAGCATCACTCAGCCAGTGATGTTGCACCTCAGGCTGATCATGAAAAGAGTGTGTTGCAGAAAAGTACAAGATCCTTTATGCAGTACTGATCTTTTTTTTCTGGTGTCTAACAACCAATGTTACAACTACAATCCAGTATTATTTTTATCATTAATAGTTTAGAGTGTTGTTCTGCATGATACTGTTCTCAGTTTGTAAGGTATTATCTTCTGAAACTTCACTGCATGAAGCATCTGCTTATGCCACAGCGTGCATGCACACAAATCTAACAAAATATTTTCTCAAGAGCTCTGGCATCCAGAAAGCCAATTTAGGTTACTTCTGTGTGTAGTTCTTCAATCTGTTTTGTTAGGAACTCAGATTACAGAAGTCTTTGACAATGAACAAGTCTTCATCTTCATGGCACACACAGTGATGATGAAGCTCCATCATCACTGTAGCTGTGTAGGCAGCTTTTTCACAGTCTCACCAAAAATAAGCATGAGGTAGTGAACATTCTTATTTCTTGTTGTTAATAAGCATTCAAGACATAGCTTACAGATATTATTTAATCTTATTTATTTTATTTATTTAACTTTTAATACATAGGCTGAATAACTCTGTTCAATTATTTCTTCTGCATGAATTTTTATATTGATGCAACTGAAAACAATTTTGCACAGAAAGGAAGTATGTGTAACTGTAGTTCAGATATAAAGTATCACTTTCACTCACAGGGTGGTGATGCACTGGAACAGGCTGCTCAGAGACGTTGTGGAAGCCCCATCCCTGGAGGCATTCAAGGACTGGCAGGATGTGTCTCTGGGCAGCCCGGTCTAGTGATTAGCAAAACTGCACATAGCATGAGGGTTGAAACCAGATGATCTTTGAGGTCCTTATCAACCCAGGCCATTCTGTGATTCTATGATTACCTGTAGGATATATTGCTAGGCACGTAACTACAGTGCTATAATTTTGTAAACCAAGACTTGCAAAATACTAGCTTATAGGTCATCTGGAATGTAGAACAGAAATAGTGTTTCCTTCTACTTCTTATTAATTTTGCCCTAGAAATGCAGTGGTGGTCTTAAATTTGAATCTAATCTTTCAAGCAGAATTTTCCTGCAGATCTTGTATGTGATTGACGTGTCTTCTTGAGGAAGTGCTTGTATCCAAATTGTGTTTTTTGCTGGAAGGTGAGCAGAATTGAAGACTCTACCAAAACTTTTTTTTTCAGAGCACTGGAATAGTAAATAGTTTTGTGTGTTTGTGGAATTCCCCAGTGTGAGTAAATCAGTGCATAGTTCAAAAGAAATGAAGAGTTTGCAGGGAGGGAAGTTGATTCATGCTGTTTGGTAGATGTTACCAGTTTCCTAGCACTTGTTGCTGGGTATAAATACAATACCTGGTAGCAAAATCATTTAGCATTCTTAACTGTGTTGCTGAAATCAGTATGCATATATGGTATGCTCATGGGGGAGTGGCTGGCTTTCTGCTGCCTTCCAGTCTTCAGTCAGAGCTGTCACATATGATATGTTGTAGAAGTTGTCTCTTTTGCTTACATCCACATATTTACTGCAGTGGTACTAAAAGGGTAGTGCAGGATTAGTTCTTTCTCTGCTCTGCTTGCTCATAGCCAGGGGCACAGTGTGGTTTCTCTTATGCCCCGTCTTAGGACCCTCTGCTTTTCAGCAGCTCTCCATCTTGCTGATCATGGATTGCTTTACATGGCACGCTGCTGGCCCATGGTCAGCATGATCAGTTTGGTAGCCTCAGTTTGCCTCCTTTGCTCCATAAAGATATTGTCTCCCACTCTTAAACCACAGCATCCCTTTTGTTTGCAGTTGAGAGTCACAGCCTGGCATCTGCAAGCTGTGCATCCACTTCTTGTGGTGTCATCAGCCAGTGACCAATACAGGCAACAGGGTGGTAGATTATTGACAGAAAACAGATTTCTAAAAAAAAGATCTTATGGTAAGGTTGTAACGCAGAGGGTTCAAGAATGTTCCAAAAAGACTTGATTACTATCCAGATTTGTAGAAACTGCAAAGCAATTAATACACAAATGGGTAATTATAGGTATCAGAAGGCACCAGCATTACTTGTTCAGAGGGGGGAAAAAAAATTGTCACATAGAAAGCAGTAAGCGTGTGTTTAAGTGCAGCCTGTATAATGCTATCTTTCCAAAGGTTTTGATAAAATTATCAAAGGCATTTAAAGAAGCAGAGTTCTCATGCTGTTGGAGGGAAAGTCTTACAGATTAATAATTAGAAAGCAATAAAAATAAACGGTCTCTCAGCAGAGAGGGATTGTCTGTGAAGTTTCTCGAGGATATTTGATGGAATTTTTACTTTTCAACCTTTCTAACAGTGAGCCAAGAAGTGGCTGAATATGCTGATAGCAGAAAATTATTCAAAGCAGGGGAAATTTAGAGCTGGCTACAGGAACTTATGGAGGGCTTTTAAGGTACCCCATGTTAGATGAAAAAATGAGTGAATTTCCATCACTAGATGCTAACTGCTGTTTTAAAACCCAAAAATTATATCGATGTACGTACTGATGAGCCCCAGTTTGATTATTTTTTTCAGAAAAGAGCGTTTGATGCTATGGAAACTTCACAAAGCTCACTCAATAGTAATGAAAGGAAAAAAAGATGCATTGCAATAAAATAAATAAATCTGTGATTTATCTATAGATAAAATTCAGTTCTGCAAACCTCTTTTCAAAAAGGATTTAGCCAAAATGAAAATGTGTAGAGAAAAGTAGCATAATGGATCAAAGGCATCAGTATGACTTCTATGAAGTGAGAAAGTATATAAAATGATTAGACTACTAATGGAGTAGTGATAGAGTTGGTTTTTTTTATTTTAAGTCAGAAATCATATGAAGAATGTGGGTTTGGAGTAGTGTTTTCAAATTGTCGTAGAAACAGATAATCTTTCCGCAGCACTTCAATTCTATCTGAAATAAAGTAGTTTGTGGTTTTTTGTTTTTTTCATTATTAATCAATGTATTAAGATGTGAAACTCCCAGACAAGGATCCTGCATAGGCTGAAGACGTAAGTGGACCTGGGGAAATTTGGACATAATCACAAAGGATCTGTCCAATGTTGACTGTTAAACACAGTAAACCAGGCTCAACTTCCAATAAAGAAAGCCCAAAACCACAGAGTGCCAAAAGCTGGAACAGTGTATTGAGGCAGATTGCTGAATTTGTTCTCCTCCCCTACATGCCCTCTTTTCTGCTGCTGATACTGGAAAATGCAGCACCATCTGCTTTCTGGTTTTGCACACTTCCATTGGGAGGGAAGAGCTCTGGCCCAATGCTTGGGAACTTCATCTTAAATATAGGAAGCCCAGCTATAAATGCCATGTTCTGGCAGCATCCACAAAGATCATCAACATATTAAGTCCACATCTTCAGAAATTCTCCTCTGAAGTATTAGTATCAACTTCCTTTTTAAAATGGGAAGACGTCTTAAGATTCTTTTACCTTCTGTTTATCTAGTTGGTGTCAAGTGATGAAGATACAATGAGAGTATTTCTAGTTCATATTCTGTGATACAGGAAACAACTTTACTTGCCTTCCTTTACTTTATTTCACCTTTACTCTTATTCTTTCAATAGGCATATATTTATTTTTCTTTAGATAGTCTTTAAACAAGCAGAACTTCTGATTTATGTGCATTTAATATCATTGGTTTGTAACTTGTCTTATTTGCTGTTTGCACACCAGTAGGGATTATCTTCCTGTTAGAGCTTATCTACAGAGGCTGCTCTGTTTCAATTTTCTCTTTCTTTGCTTCTGTAGGTGAAAAAGTCCAGAAGGGAAGGATCCAGTCGAACACACCTAGTGCCACAACCAGGCTTGTCAGTTGGAACACCTCAGGTCAGCCTCCGATTAACAGACAGTAGTTCATGTTTGAAGGAGATGGATTTAACAGATGAAATCTCCTTTGTTAACAGTGGTGCGTTTTTCTTCAGGTTAGTGCTATTTATTTATTATTGTTTTTTTTTGGCTTTGTATTTGTTTCCTTACTTATTCTGTAGCTGCACCTCCAGCTCTGAGAGTTTTGAACACGCTTTTTTCCATTGATGCACACAAAGTCAGCATGGTGTGGTGTAAGGCAAAATAATACGTGTGCCTCTGTGGAAGTACACATTCCACCAGGTGTCTTACAAAGCTGGGTGTACGCTTTTTTGCCTTTCCAATATAAATTTACATTCATATGCAGGTGACCTGATTAGGGAAGGATGGTAGGACATACTAAAGTCAGATACTAGAAATGGCACTGAAGATCCAGTCAGATACTAGAATGGCACAAGATCCAACCAAAACATAGATGTCTTCTATCAGCACTTAAATGTGTTTGATCTGCCTGGTTTAAGTCTTAGCAGAAAGCTGAATTTGTTCCCGTTCTCAATCCAAGAAGGGAAGGGGTTTTAGAGGGGCTTATCTTGCTAAGAAGAATGGTGTTCTAGATGTACTGGGGTTGTTCAGACAGGACAGAAAATAGAAGTGTGTCTATAGAGCATCTATTCCGTCTAAAAATGTCTTTCAAAGTCCGTGTAACATATCGTGATCAGTTTTGATTGATGACATTTTGGCAATGAGGTGAACAGGTGACTGACAATTAGATTTCTTGTAAAATTCTTTTCTGAACATCAGACTTAACCAGTATCTTTTCATTGTTCTCGGGGTAATGAATTGAGTATTTAATTCCCTTTCCTCTTGTGTCTAGTGTAGAACATCAAGGATTCATGTTACTGTGGGAAATTGCTGTATGCTGCTGAAATATGAGGTTGGCCTAATGTGGGAAGTAGAGTTATGTACGTGTCATGAAACATGACACCGCGGTGTCTCTGCATACCAGGGCAGAACACAAAGCAGTGACAGTGCTGCCAGACACGTAACTGAGTGGCTTCACTAAGTAAGCAGGAGATGGTGTGCAATTCTCAGCACTCCACTGTGTATTGTGAGGTGTAAAGGGAAGTGAAGCACTGGAGAGGTGAAACAAAAGGCTGCTGAGTCTCATGTTTAGGAAAGTATTGAGGACTTCTTGAAGTGTCTCAAAAAAGTGCGATTCTTTCAGTTGAATGCTTGCCGAAGGAGGTGGTTCATTGTAAGAATTCATACTTTCCTGTCAGATATTCCTCCTTAGAAGTGTACTGCTGAAGTTGGGGATAGTTGGACTGATACTGGCACGGGACATCAACTACCAAATGGAATGTCTTTTAAGTAGGCAAAAGCTGACGGTTTCTGTGCTCGGTCCTCAGAATGAAAGATATCTGGATCTCTAATTCTACCTGGGAGACCAATAAGCTGTAGAAAGTAATTGTCTTGTAATCCCATGTTGTTCAAGGACAGTGTGGTATCCCCGTCCCGTATCACGGTTGTGTGTTTATCTAACTGGGTTGAGTTTGCATCTGCACTGCTGTTAGCTTCTAGTACTTTTCTCTCAGTGATCTGCTGCTACTGCTGAAATAGGTAGTGCTTGCTGTTATCTATCCAAGTCTAGGACAGTAAGTTATGGAATAGGACAAGCTGCAGAGGAGGAGGCCCTTAATCACTCCACCCCTATGAGGAAGAGTGGAGAGAGGTCTCTAACAGAACTGGGGGGGCAAGATGTCTGTGCATCCAAAACCTTGATTCCCTGGAGCGAATGTAATGCAATAATACATGAGGAGTGGTTTTAAATGTGCTTTTGGCAGTCTTGTGCCTCTCCTGTGAAATCTAAGCTACTGTATGATATTATCTAGTTATGTTTCAGTGCAAAGCTACATTAGTTTTCACCTTTTCAGCAGAAGGACTCTGACATCTGATCTAAACTATAAAGTGCTTTGCAAACATACTGCTAGTCTTGGGGGGGTTCTGTCACAAGGTACTAGCAGTTCTTAAATAAATGTTATCATTGTGTAATTATATGTAATTATCAGATACGTTTTAGTGAAATGACTGTATCTGCTCAGTTATCGTACGATCTTTGTTAGAAAAGAATAAAGGTTGTTCTTGGCAATGATAATCTTCTGCTGTTTCATGAAAATGCTTGTGGTTTGTTCCTGTTCTGAGCTCGGATACCATGATATGGGTGGGTTAGAAGGGGATGAAGGGTTACAATAGAACAGTAGATGCAGAACTCTACCTTTACACCCGTGAGCCTGCTAAAAGTAAGGAACCAACCACACACAGGCCTGTAAGGCCCTCCCCAGCAATAACTGTAACAGGTCTGTCATTTTCAGTCACTTTCATTTGACATTAGGGAATAGGTATACCGGGAGAAGATGAGAGTTCGAGTTGTTTAGTAATGTTTAATACTATTTATAATGTCTCTCTGCGTGTGTTTTATACAGCTGACCTTAGAAAGGTGTTCTGTATAGTAAGTAGCAGCTACAGTTGCAACTATATCTTCTAGAATGGCTTATCTTTGTAGTAATGTTGAAAGAGATGCATTATGCCTCTTTACAGGCATGATATTCCTCACTGCAGAAATTTTTGATAATGCTGTTGTCATTTGAAATATGAGAAATATCAGTTGCAGTCAAGATGTGTTCTAAATCATAAGATCTGTCTCCTGCTTATTACTTGATCTTAAGAAAATGATATTATAAAATTGGTATGTTGTTTTTTTGTTTTGAGTTTGTTTGCTTTTTGAGCAGAATAGGTAGAGTAATTGTATGTACCCATAATCCCCACTAAAACATGATGCATGTGATCTCTTGAGAATTACATTATTATAGCTGTGTGCGAAGCGGAAACGGCTAATTATGTAGTAGCAAAAACTTGGAGACAGTCTTAGAGGAAATCCCAGAAGATTAAGGGAAGAAAAAAAGAAGGGATAGGGGAGACAGACTGGGAAGAGCAATCCTTGAGAGCAGCCCTGCAGAGAAGGACCTAGGAGTCCTGGGGAATAAGAAGCTTAACATGAGCCAGCAGTGTGCTTTTCCAGCTAGGAAAGCAAATGATATCATGGGCTCCATCAGAAGAGGGGTGGCCAGCAGGGACAGGGAGGTGATTGTTTCTCTCTCTACTCTATCCTCATGAGGCCCCAGCTGGAGTACTGTGTCCAGGTCTGGGGCCCCCAGTACCACAAAGACAGGGTACTGTTAGAGAGGGTCCAGAGGAGAGCTATTAAGATGATTGAAGGGCTGGAGCACCTCTCCTGTGAAGACAGGCTGAGGGAGCTGGTCTTGTTCAGCCTGGAGGAGAGAAGGCTGTGGGCTGACCTCATTGCAGCCTTTCAGTACCTAAAGGGAGCCTATGAACAGGAGGGGAGTCAACTTTTTACAAGGGTAGATAATGGCAGGACAAAGAGAAATGATTTTAAGTTAAAGGAGGGAAGATTTAAGTTCGATAATGAGGGGGTAGTTCTTCACCAAGACAGTGGTAAGGTACTGGAACAGGCTGCCCAGAGAGGTTGTGGGTGCTCCATCCCTGGAGGTGTTAAAAGCCAGGTTGTATGGGGTCCTGGGTAGCCTGGTCTAGTATTAAATGGGGAGGTTGGTGGCCCTGCATGTGGCAGGAGGATTGGAGCTTGATGATCCTTGAAGTCCCTTCCAACCCAAGTCATTCTATGATGATTTTATGATTCTGTGTGCCTAGAGGTGCTAAAACTTCAGTACTTTGAGTAAGAAGTTCAAATGTATTTTATTTCAGGATACATTAAGATTTAAGTGAATACAAAGGTAGGAGGGCCTCTTACAAACAGTGCTCTTAGCCTTTCATGCTACAATTCATTTAACAGCAAAGAATAGTGAAAGCTTTTAGGCAGGAGGCTTCCTGCAGACCAAGTGCAAGGCAAGAGATTGCTGTTGGCAAGCTGAAATGGCTTTCCCAGTGCTGGCTCAGAAGTGACAGATGCTTGCTGTCTACAGACTTTTGTCTTCATTGCCCTAATATTTTTGCCACAGAAGGGGTGCTAAAATGGGCTTTGCCACATACTGGCATTCTTGCACGTAATGGAGCAGGCCTGGTACTGTTTTCAAGGAGGATTTATCTGTGGGAGGGCACCCTGCTGTTTGTCACATTGTTGGGCCCTGTGCATGCTCCCTAGGTGTAATAATTGATCTAAGGAGTGCTACCACATACCTTACCTTGCTGGTAATCACTGGGTGCTGTGAAATCAGTGTGTGTATGGCGGACAAACTTTGTGAAAAACACTGTGCAGATTGTGGGAGCTGAAGCACTAGAACAACCACTGCAACCATTCAGTAAACAATCCGCCTTCTCCAGTACCTTCTAGCCATCTCTTTATGTGCCAAAGATCATAAATTCCTGTTTGCAACTGCAGACACAGCTGCAACAAGATTTGCCAGCACAGATAACCTTTGTTGGCTTACTAGCATGTGCAGATTCTTTGAGACATATGTTTACATCAACCTTTTGTTCACAAAGATGCTTATATCTGGCCTGTGTTCTGCAAATGCATTGATCCCATGCTGTGTTGTCCTCCTTAAAATTAAGGGTGGATTTGTGTACACTTGCTGTGCCCTCTTCTTTATGAGACTGCATGTTCTAGCTGTTAATTAGCTGAGGTATGAAAACACATGTATTTGTACACTGAGAAGTTTGTGCTTACTATAAACACTTACCCTGTTTACTGGCTTTCCTTTTAGCAGCTGCGGTTTAAAACCAAGGCAAGCCAAAACGTACCATTATTCTCTGGCACGTGATAAGAACTTGGGTTCCTGTTGTTGCTAGAAAAAATCAAGCAGGGGGGCTGGTGTTTGTTTAGCTGACTATTTTTGTTTAGGCTTGGGGTTTTTGCAGCCTGTCATGGCAGTACATTCAGTCCCTATCCAAAGTAATAATTTGCCTTATCACTCGGGAGCCTTGCTGCCAGGTTTACATACATACAGGATTGCAGCCAACAGACACACAGGACTGCCTTCTGAAAGACCCAGATTCTTCGAGAAAACTGCTCAGGAAAGGAACAAAAGTCTAGAGAGAGTTTGGTGGGGAAGTGGTGAGAGCGGTTACCTTCTAG